CAAGGATTTCATGTAATTATATTTTAGTTTAAGGTGAGCTTAATTAGTTTTTTTTCTAGTGTTCAAGATACCAAGCAAATGTTAGTTCATTGTGATTTTTCAACAGATTTTCTGTCCTTCACAATATACCACAGAATCTTATAAATAAAATGTTCGTAAAAACGATTTATAAGTTGTAACAACTAACAACCAAAACGTTATAAAATATACACAAAACCCCGAACATTAAAATCACATCATAGCTAGAAATTTCATAATCATAATTCACAAACTCTCACGATCTCAAAAGAAAAATGCTAAGCTCCTGTCCATAACTACCTCCCGTGTTCACCATATGAAACGATTCCGAGTCACTCGACCCGGTGACCCGCTCGAACTTTGCCCTCAGATACAACATCTCGCCGTCTCCGTCGCCGTTACCTCCCACCGGAATCACCCCTGCCCCAACGGAAACAGACTTCATCAGCCGGAGAAATCCGACGTCATTTTCAGTAATTTCTCTCCTCACAGCAAACCCAACTTTCCGGCCGTTACAATACATAGACCAAACCGGAACGTTAAAGATACTAGACCGGCGGTTGCTTTTGCTCCGGAGAGCTATTCGGAGAAACCCTTCTTCCATCTCCCGAGCTAGAGCCGCCGTGGGAACGGCTAGCTCGACGAGGAGGAGTGGTGGAGAAGCAGGACGAGTGTCGTCTTGGAGGCAGAAGCTGACGTGGCCACGACGGTGACCGAAGAAAGTTCCGGTGACGAGGAGGACACCAGTTTGGTCGGAGGATGAAGTGACAGAGATGGTGTCGTTTTGGTCAAAGGGAGGAGATTGGTAAGTGCAACAATATGGGATTAAGCACTCAATGAGTGAACGGAGAGTTCGCCGGAGACGGACTTCACGGGCACAGTCAACGTTCGTCGGAGAATCAATGATTTGTAGATGGCTGCTTCTTTCTCTTCCCAAATCAACCATTGTTCTCATTTTTTAATCTTTATTTGTATTCAAGAAAGTAAGAAGAGAATGTGTTTGAATGAGAGGAAGTTTGCATTGGTGGTATTTGTATAGGTGTGAGCTGTAAATAGAGTGGATTTTTTTTAATAGTTTTAATGTAATTTAAATTATTATTTTGTTTTGGTTATAAACTTATAATAAGATAGAATGCTTATTACGTACGTGTACTTTCATATTTTTCTGTTTTCGAGTAACTAATATTGATTTTTCCTTAGTTTGTTCACCAAATGGTCGTAACTCGTAAACTAACATGAATTAAGTGTTACGTTTCATGTAATTGTGAAACTAGATCCAAAATTGTGAAAATAGTAAATAATGTTGATAAGGTGAAGAAAATAGAGGGAAGTGGTATAATTGGTTGGACGAACAAAAAATGGCCCACTTTGTAATGTAGGATCCAATCGATGAGTTTTGTGTTTCTTTGTGCCTTGTTTTATAAACTAGGATATAACCCGCGCATTCATGTGGATAATTGTATTTATTTTTAGTTTTATATCCTTATAAAATGAATTTGCTAATATTTGTTTTCCCGTAAAGAAGATTGAAATTTTTATGCATAAATTGTTAAACGAAACTGAATCGAAAAGTGGTAATCCTCACGCCGATAAACCCTCCTACCCACATGAGACTTAAGACTCATGTTATAATAAATAATAAATGTTTCACTGCATCCGAAGAATTGCAAAGACATGTGATGTAATGCATTATATTATGTCTTATATATCCAAGGGCAGTCGCTCTCTAAACAACCTTCACAATGGTAACCTTATGTCATTGCTCTCTACACATTCTTTTAACTGACCTTTAACCGAACATAGTTTTATAGCACTTTTGCGCCCTCAAGAAAAAAATTGAACAACTTCTACGTTTGGTACTGTACATTACATTATGACGTGATAAGATATGTATTGTTTGTATACATTGCTGAATATGTTATCTTTGCGTGCTTCCTCTTTTTGTTTTATCTATAATGGTTCTTTAATGTTCAATCAAATTTCATAAGAGGAATAACCATAAGAACCTTCAAACTTCTTCAGATAGTAAACTTGGATCTCGAGATGTTGCTGGATTTTTATGTTTGGAAAAGTAGACGATCTAACATATTTTTAGTTTATTCACATGATGGATATTAAATTATGAAACCTACGTACGAATATTAGATGTGCATAGAGTCGTGACACTTTGTTTTCATGATTGATTATCACAAACCTTATTCCACCCCAAAACGTGCATTTCAACACTTTTGCATTCGAGAACGATCGTAATCGCAGCGCGTTCTGAGATCAAAGTCCAAACCGCCGCAATTCGCAACGATCTCTAGACTTCTAATTGGAACTTGAATTAGCAGTCTCAGTTCTTCATCCTTGACATGTCAAATATCCGTAACATCACCCGTCGAGGGCAAATATGCCCGGATCAGAGCCAACACTACACCCTGTGAGGGTTATTACAGGATCGGGATGGATTCGTGTTGGAAGTCATCTTAATAGCGACGGTTACTTTAACAAATGATAAAGAAATTTTATCAAATTGTTTAAATATAATTGTAAGAGTGGAGAAAAAACCAAGAGATGCATCGGTTCGAAAGAACAGAGGCCAACTCGTGATCGTATGTCGTAAGACTTGTACATTTTCGTTATTTCTCCCTCCAAACAGGAAAGACACGTGTCAAGTAAACAACACACTAAACTTATCTTTTATAATATGTATAATTACAAAACTAATCTTCTCTCACAAATGCAACACATTTCCATTTGTAATGTTGGATTGTGACATCTCCGACTATTTTCTCTGGTGAAATCACCACGTCGATAGGGACGGCTTCTCCTCCACGCCTCCTTTTCCTCGCCACTGTGGTGCTTAGTCTTCCCTTCCTCTTCCCATAAATTGTTCCTCACCAAAGCATTTGTCGGCCACTGTTTGAAATCTATTTCTCGTTTTGTGTTTTCTATTTTCATAGAAGACGTTATTTTTTTGATAGAACCTTTTTTTTTGGTATTGAGGTAGTTTTATTATTATGATGGCTATAAGCTCTATTTTTTAGTCCAACATAGTTATAGGGCAAAATGACCATATTACTTAAGCGTCCAAAGAAATATGAAACTATAGTCATTTACGTATCGAGGTAAACAAATTTTAAGCTAGCTGGTAGTAGTTATATTTTAATTAAAAAACCCTGGGTACATTCAGAAGACTTACACATGTTTTAATTTTCTGTTTACAAATAATTATGAATGGAAGAAGGTAGCGTATGCCTCTTATTTCTTGCTCTTAAATAAATTTTACTGTAATCGATAAAAGTATGACCAAAATTTTTATTTTTATTAAACAGAAATGGAGTACATTACAACATCATAAATTTATAACAATAATACGTGTTTTAACTATGTATAACATAGTAATGTACGAATGTACAGTACAAATTAAAAAATACAGTAGGTATATAAATAATCAAGGTTTATATGCTATTATGAAACTTAAAACATCCTACTAATGTAAAATATAACTTGAGATACAATTTTTAAATAATTTAATCTCATTGATGCGCTCTTCTGTTCCTGCTCCTTTGACGTTTTGTCCCTTCAATAGCAATGAAATCATCGTCTAACTTCAGCTTTTTCTTTTTCTGGTCAGAGTTGTTGCAAGTGTCTTTGCTCTCAACACTAACACTTTGTAAATCATTGGTGAGTGACAAGGCTTCTCACTTGGTCTGGCGGAGATATTGTGCCATCTATTTCGAGTAACAATATCAACTATTCTAGCGGAGCAGAGAAATTCTTTTTCCTGCGAAAATTCGAAATAATTCTGAAAGAAAATAAGCGAATTCTATTATTAAAAACAAAAAGAAGTGTAACCTGAGGTTCGACAACATCCAGAAATGATAACATCTGCGAAATATTCTTCATTGATGAGCTTTCTTCATTTAACTCAAGTTCTTCGAGGCGAACTTTGAACAACTTCAGATTGATGTCTGAATAGATTTTTAAATTTGTTTAATACTTATTAACTTTTCCTCTCCCAACAAAACCAAAAACAGAGCTTTCTTAGTAGACTACGTACCTTACACTCTCCAATTCTTCTGTATCATCGTATTAATAAAACCAAGTAGCCGGTGAAGTGTTCAAGTCGAGATCTCCTACACAGATCGAATAATTATTTGTTTATGTACAATCATTATATCCATTCTATTTTAATATGTAACTAAATGTACCGGCAAACAACTTAGGATTAACTGATGTTATGACGACAAAACATTGTTTCCTCTGCGTCATGAAAAGGAACGATCGAAAATCAGAAGCGATGTTGTCCCAGATAGAAAGACGAACTTTGGTTCCGCTGCTCGTCAAATGAAAAAGACAGAGATAATAGACAATAATAATGTAGTTACAAAATCACTTTACCGATTATAAACTTACTCTTTAAGAATAATTCTTGCCATGATCTTCTTTTTGGAACCTATATAACGAAGTTGAGTACCCCACACATAAGTTATTCTTCCAACAACATCTGAAACGAAATAATTACAGGGAAGAAAAAATAGTTTACGTTTGAAACCATTTTACTAACAAAAGTTAAAAAAAAAAAGCAATTCCCCTGGTAAGATTTGATTTTTGTTGGCCAACAAAACCAATTTCTCATAATCATATACTCTGAAATTAGTGTTCTCTCAATTGTAGGTGCATCGTCCAACACTTCAGAAGCAATTGTAAGATGAGTGAATTGCAAAGAATCCTTGTGATCTGACAGTTTGAACAGCTCATTATTCTCATCAACCACAAACTTGCTTATATGGTAGATTAATCATTCTTTGAAGATGTTTTTGTAATATCTGATGAGGCGATGATTAATTGAAGCATTTATTAAACGCCCCTACACAAAGATAAAATCAAAACGTGAGTAAATGACAGAATCCATAGAATAGAAACTGGTTAAAGTGAGTACACCTCTTACGGTCTCGCTAGAAACAATAGTTCTTCACTCAGCAAGCGGCTCCCTCTGCGTCGATTACGTGCCTCCCATTTTCGGATAAGCCGAACAACGATATCTCACTTTGGTGGATATTTTTCAAGATCTTCCAGTGTCGAGTAAGGTCCTTCAGAGATTGTCATAGTAACCTGTTAGATGATAATAATAAGTATAATGTAAGATAATTTGGCGAACAGAAGAAAGATTTAACAGGAGATTGAATGTTTCTAAGGAAAAAGTACCCGAAATTGATCTGAAACTTCGTGAATGATTGTGCTCGCGAGCGTTCCTTTTATAATAGTGTAAACAAACCGTTCTGCGAAAATAGCGGAGATGAATCTGCATCTCTTTCAGCAACAGAGGCGATGATTTGGAGGTGGCGATTGGATCACGGATTCAGGGAATAAGGTTTCTCGACAGAACTGATAAATAAATGTATTATCTTTTATTAAATGTATAATAAAAGATTGTGTAGAAAAACTTTGGGCCTATTACCCAATCGAGACCCATAAAAGTTAATATGATGGTTTATCTTAAAAGTAAGATTAAAACGTGAAATTGTAAACGATGGAAAGCCCAAAAGTGAAGGACATGTGTCACGACGTGAACAACTGAAATCAAACTTTTATAATATATATAATTCCCTAACATAAATTATACAGATCTTAACATAAATGATGATACAATAATAAATTGATGCGTTTTGTGTGTTTTTTTAAAACTTGTTCTTCTTTTGTGTTGTACATCTTTGGTCTTCTATTTTTGAGTGTTTTTTTTAATTTACGTAGATTATGCATATATGGTTGATAAAGAAAATATCTAACATATATAAAATACCATGTATAAATCCACAATTTACGCTGAAATATACAACTTATTTACCGTTCTGATTTATTTTTTAACATGTGCCGTCTCAATAGACTAATCTTATAAAATAGTTTGCTTTACTAGTATAGATTGTAAGAAACTCAAATAAAGCTTATAGCTAGAGAAAGAGTTTGCAGTTTTATTGATTCATTTTTTTCAGCTGCCGATTACAAAGGCCTCTATACAAGGTTTGAGCTTAGGGTTCTCTCGATTACCTCTGACACTTGTCAGTCTCACAATCGCCGTTTTCTCCCAACGGATCAAATCTGTTGAATGTCTTGATTTGACCGACCGTACAATCGCCGTTTTCTCCTCGAAGCTTCATCTTGTTCGACTTTGTCTTTTTCTGATGAAGAAGATAACTCTCTTCTTCTGAATTCTTCTTGGGCTTTTGCTGGTTTTGGCCCAACAGCTTTGATGCTTCAGGTCCATTTGAGAGAGACTCAACCTTAACTAGAGGTTTTGGCTTAACATAGATGTGTAGCCTAGTATACACACGATCCTAGCGGTACTCAATTGTGATATTTTTTTTAAAAAAATCGAAGAATAAAGAAACTGTAATCGAGAAAGGAAAAACAAATAATGTGATGGAAAATAAATGTAGAAAAGAACATGCTTTGCTTTTTTTTTTTGTCATATGAAATATTTATTAAACTTGATATGAAACCGAAAGGATTACAAAGTCGGAACCAGGAACTAAGCCGGCGCACAAACTTGAATTCCCTAGATACAATGCCCATACAAGAGACATCAAAGGAACCATGAAATTCAAACCAAACTACCAAGGCTGCACTTCAACCACTAAAAATGAGAAAAAACACAAGTTCAGCCACAAACAATACCMAAGGGCAAAAAAATGGTGGAATGACAGAGACCAAATCAGACTTCATGAAAGACCAGCCAAAAGGCGTGAATCCGACATGCCAAAAGTCCAATCGACACACCACCGTAGCTGAGCAGAGAAGTCACCATCTCAAGCAGACAAAGCATGAGCAAATTAGAGGGACCAAAACAAAGGGATCAATCAAGAAGAAACTCTATCCAAGCGACGAATGCAACAAAGATTGAAAGCGCGATAACATCCCAAATAGTCTAAACTGAGCCTCGAGACCGCTCCCCTCTTCAAAAAACCGTAAAGAACAAAACTTGAAGTGAAGACTCTTCACCAAAGAAAGTAGCCAAAGAGATCGGATCACACGAGCACAAAAGATCAAGAGTTGAAAGACGCTAAGAAGAGGCGCGTTCATGAGCGGAGAAGCCGGATCAGAGGACAAACCAACGCCAATCATTCCACCAAAGCCCAACTCGTAGAACATTAAACGAAATTGCACATGAAACCGGAACTTGAACCACTTTCTAACTAACCGAAGTACCAACACCATTGCCACAATCTCCATAATTCACCGGAAGAACTAAAAACCCAAAGGGACAACATCAATCAGAACTGACCTTCAAAATCGCAAAGAAAGAAACCCGCATCGGACATAGGATCCAAAAGAACGGGCCTAACCCATGGACCCAATCCAAGAACAAAGTCTCCACCCATCGACAACAAGGAGAACATGCTTTGCTTAAACAAAGAATAATTTACTAATGGTTTTTTTTTTTTGAAACTTATGATTTAGTAATGGTGAGTGATATTGTTTATATAAAAAGTAACATGGCGATGATTGTATTGAGCGTGAGAAGGCGGAAGAAGAAAGCATGCACATCGCAATGATTATATGATCCAATCATGCGTTGATATTAAATAATTCCTAATAGATATACTCTTCATATTGTCCATGTTTTTTTCGGAGTAGTGCTTATATAATATTTGATCTATTTCAATTTACTTTCTCCTAGGCACGATCCTCAACATGATTTTAATTTATGTAAACTATTTTCACAACATATATATTTTTTTTTTTCTAATCTTTTTCACAACATATATGTAGCTTTTTGTTGTTGTTACTTTAAGTTAAGGCCATTTTGTCTATAAAAGCACTCGATAAAATTATTAGACCGTCATTTATATGTTTTTAGTTCGCCTTCACTTTAATCGATTTTTTCCAATATACATAGATGACTCCTCATGTACTTGGGCCAGAAAGTTACTATAATGGGCTGATAAAAAGCCCGCTATGAAATTTCATGCAATGTATGCAAGAGCCAAGAAATGTGTCAGAAATATAGAGGGTTTTTATGTTGGGTTAGTTAAATAACTAAGCTTACTATTATTATTCAATTCCTCAATCACTCTTTCAATTCTCTCCCGATCATATGGAGTATGAACAAGAAACAGTTAAAAGTCAAATTCAAAAACAACTAATTTACTATTAAGCTGACTAAAATGAAAACAATCATGCAATCTATGATTGAAAATGTATAACCAATTTAACACACATTGAAAACGTTTGGTTACTGACACTGATTGAAAAGCCTCCAAACCTTTTTTGTCAGCTTTATCTCTATTTGTTTTTACATTTGAGTGGGACATGTAACTCGATAGTTTTCATTATAATGATGTTACAATATACAACAGTAGAAAAAGAACACATGTACGCTTATTAACTAGAGAAAGAAGAAACTGAAAGACCGCGACAAGATCTACACATAGGTCTTTCTTCTGCGTCATACTTCTGGCTTTTTTCATAAAAAGGAATACTGATCATTTAATGAACACAACACATTCAAATTGTTTTACCAAAAAAAAAAAAACACATTCAAATTGAAATGACCAGGAAATTAGGTTTGTGTGTGTGTGCGCGCGCGCGCATACACGTCATACTTTTGAAACCTAGCCAATATGATTTTTTTTTTGGTCGAAAGCCAATAAGATTAAGAATATATATGATAGTTTTTTTTTGTCAACCAAACTATTAATTAGAAAATATATATGATAGTTATGTGTTCAAAACAATTTATTTTGTTTTTACAAAAGGCAAAAAGGTCAAATAAGGAAATAAGGGGCCGGGCCATTACCGAAAAAAAACAAAGACAGAGAGAAAATAATAGCAAAAATAGTTATAAATTGCCAAATCTTTTTTTTTTTTTTGCATATTTTTTCAAAAAAAAAAAATCTTTTTTTGCATAGTATATCTATCAAGTACAAATCAAGGGTCCGATCTTATGCAGCGACATATACTTCTTATTTTCACGTGCGTACACACACAACAAAATATGCTAAAAGAAAACAATAAATAGAGTTGTATATATTTTTCACGTTTGTTAACAACTCAATCATGAATATTGAAATTGTGTGTTTAAAACCACACCAAAAATTCCCGCAAAACAAAAAAAAAAACACACCAAAATTCACATATAACAACACCGTAAAAGAGCATCTACCAATTGCGTAGCGTCCCAAAATATTTCAAGGAACCTTAACTAAATAAAATCTTTACACTGTCATATGCCTCATAAAAATTATTTATTATCATATATTATCTAATTAACCCTATATATGTTTGGAATCTTTTGTAATTTAGAAGATGCTATAATTAGAGAAAAAGAAGAGGATAATTTAGTTAATTGTTGTCGCCGCCAGATATATCCTGTCATTGTCGGAGACTTGCCGGTCATACCGGAGGACTAACCGAGACATTCTAGTATTTGTTTCTCTCTAATAGAATAAATCGAATCTTAGGGTTCACACAAATTTCCAGTTTTCTTCCCACAAATATTAACTGTTTGATAGATACACCGGAAGACTTTTCAATATATAAGTCATATTTTGGTTGTGTTATGAGATTGAGACCAATGATGCGCGTAAAGAAAGAAGATGAATTTTCGTTGCAGCTTACTTAATTGGCTGGGTAGGTTGAAACAAATTTTTAGCCGTTGAATATCGTTTAGTCAAATTCATTGCGATCTAGTGGTTGGATGATTTATCACATAAATGAAGACACCATAATTCATTTTTTTAGGTCATGTGAACGTTTTAAATGACAAACATATCTTATAATTTATATACGTAATGATGAAACTAATATGAATTTGATATATCGATCACACAAAAAAAAAAATGAACGGAATCTCGTCTTATAAGGGATA